TGAACAGCAAAGGCTTTAACAGGGTCAGGACCTGAAAGGAATGGGCAACACATGGAACTTCTTCCATCTTATCCTGTCAACTATAAAGACAGAAGGTTACTTTTTATATGTAGGTTTTATAAAGAATTAACTATAAGTATTTGTCTTGTCTCTCCAAATAGATTACAAGCTCCTTCCATGTTGGAACCATTTAGGTAGGCAAGAAACATGAGAAAATAATAAATATTTGACTGGCTAAGCGTCAGAAGGGTCTCATTTCAAAGTTGGATTCCTTCAGAGCATGTCATTAGGAAGTTAGTTTATTCTTACTTCAGCTTTTGTGAAAAACTATTTTTCTCAGAGTGGGCAATCACCAGTCCTGTTCCAAAAGATGGTATAAACATAAAGGTTGTGGACAAGGGCTTTGTAGCCAGGAAGGTGTGGGTTCAATCCCCAGCTCAACTGTTGCAGATTGCATGACCCTGTTATTTATTTATCTTTCTCTGATGCTCAGTTTCTCTGTTTGAAAATTGATTATAATATTCTCTGCCTCATGGAGTTGTGGAAATTAAGCAAGATAATATATACAAAATGCTTCACATAGAGCCTAGCACACAATAAGACCTCAATAAACCGTAGCTGAAAAACATCTTGCCTTTAAGACCACCAGGCCACATTCCAACACAAACACAAAAGCAGCAAAACACAATGAACAAAAACAGTGGAAATCCTCACGCAAATTACACATGCTAAGTAAGCGACAGAGCACTCACAATCCCCCTACCTTTTCCACAAAGGAAGACTGAGAAACACAAAGTTCTAAGGCCTTTAATATATTCATGAATATAGAAAAGTTAAAATAAAACCTCTAAAGCCCCTGCTAACTCTAAGATTAGAGTCACAGAATCTTAAAAATGTTAATGCCAATGAAAATGCTTGGAGATCAATCCAGCCCTCTCCTTTTACAGATAAAGAAACACAAGAGACACAAGAGACACAAGAGATGGGCGGGGGGTGGGGGTCACTGGGTGGCGGGTACTGAGGTGGGCACTTGACGGGATGAGCACTGGGTGTTATTCTGTATGTTGACAAATTGAACACCAATAAAAATAAATTTATTAAAAAATAAATAAATAAAAATAAAGGACATTGCCTGAAAAATCATTAAAAAAAAAAAAGAAAAGAAACACAACAAGGTTAAGCAATTTGCCTAAAATTGCCCAGTACATTCCATGATTTCTTCAAATGGGTGTTATTTCTAGTCTCTGCATCCTGCCCTTCTTCCCTCTAACCAAACTTTCCCAATGCCCTATCAAACAGCAGCAATTACAACACCAGAGAAGGAGCCTACATATGACATACCCCAGTGAGATTGAAAATTTCTTATTAAACTCAATGGCAAAGAAACAAACAATCAAATCATAAAATGGGCAAAAGACATGAACAGAAATTTCACCAAAGAAGACATAGACATGGGCAACAAGCACATGAGAAAATGCTCCACATCGCTTGCCATCTGGAAAATACAAATCAAACCACAATGAGATACCACCTCACACCAGTGAGAATGGTGAGAATTAACAAGACAGGAAACAACAAATGTTGGAGAGGATGCGGAGAAAGGGGAACCCTCTTGCACTGTTGGTGGGAATGTGAACTGGTGCAGCCACTCAGGAAAACTGTGTGGAGGTTCCTCAAAGAGTTAAAAATAGACCTGCCCTACGACCCAGCAATAGCACTGCTGGGGATTTACCCCAAAGATACAGATGCAGTGAAATGCCGGGACACCTGCACCCCAATGTTTATAGCAGCAATGTCCACAATAGCCAAACTGGAAGGAGCCTCGGTGCCCATCGAGAGATGAATGGATAAAGAAGATGTGGTCTATGTATACAATGGAATATTCCTCAGCCGTTAGAAACGACAAATACCCACCATTTGCTTGGACGTGGATGGAACTGGAGGGTATTATGCTGAGTGAAGTAAGCCAATCAGAGAAGGACAATCATCATAGGGTTTCACTCATAGGGGGAATATAAAAAATGGTGAAAGGGATTAAAGGGGAAAAGAGAAAATGAGTAGGAAATATCAGAGAGGGTGACAGAACATGAGAGACTCCTAACTCTGGGAAATGAACAAGGAGTAGTAGAAGGGGAGGTGGGCTGGGAGGTGGGTACGGGGTGACTGGGTGACAGGCATTGATGGGGGGCCCTTGATGGGATGAGCACTGTATGTTACACTACATGTTGGCAAATCGAACTCCAATAAAAAAATACACAAAAAGAAAAAAGAAAACCAAGGCTGTGCCTGTGTCTCAGTGCCTACAAAAGAGCCCTCGCTCCATGTGCTCACACATCCCCACTGACTGACTGACTTAGCGACACACAGCTCTCCTCTCATCCTGTAGGAACTTACTAAGCATTGAATGAATGCATACATAGCAGACCCTACTATTAAGAACATCATCTTTCTCTCCACTGCAGATTCAGGCAGAGAACTGCCCATCTAACCAAAACCAATAGTTTCTAGGGAGTCCTAGAAGATGCCAACATCTTGGGGGCCTCGACTTTGCCATTATACTGTAATAGCTGTTGTCTTTTACCCCCTACCCATCCCACTACCATTTCCCTTATTTGTCTCTGTGGTCACCAAATCTTATCTTGTTTTTTTCTCCTAATAGGTAAGAAGAGACATACCTGAATAGCACTCCCAAGTCGAGGTTCAAAGCAGAAAGAGAATCTTAGTATACCCCACTCTCGGGATATATAAACAGACTGAAGCAAGTCCTAGCCAGTGCCAAAAGATCCCAAAGAGCAGAGGGTGCAAGTAGGAGGGAAGATGGCAAGCTCCCAGAGGCAGAAAGTCTGTGGATTGCTGGAAGGAGTGCCAAATATAAAACCCCATCGGGCTCCTGTCAGAAGTCACATTCCTTCGGCACACCACATTTCTCCAAGCTATCCAGGCCTAAAGCCTTGAGTCTCTCCTTACTTTTCCACTTTCCCTGCCCCTCATCTAATCTGGCTGCAAACTGCACCCTTTCTTTCCTTTTGTCATCCAGCGACTGTTGTGTAGTTTGGAACTGCCATTTCCAAGTCAAAGTTCTCATCCTTTCTCACGTGGGCCACACAATAGACTCCTAACTGGTCTTCCCTGCTCAGACATTCTTCTTTCCAATTCATCCTGTGTACTACAGTCTCTAGTGACTGACTGTCCCAGGTTGCCCAGAACTCTCCCCATTTTAGCGCTGAAAGTCTCCTGTCCTAGGAAACCCCTTAGACCCAGACAAACTGAGACAGCTTGCCATCTTACTGCAGGCAGATTAAAATCTTCTCTCAGGCAATTCTTGACCATGTCATTTTCCTGACCAAAATGTTCCCTGGTTCCCACTTCCCATTAAAACTAAACTTAAAGGGGCACCTGGGTGGCTCAGGTTAAGCATCTGCCTTCGGCCCAGATCATGATCCCAGGGTCCTGGGATCAAGTCCCACATTGGACTCCCTGCTCAGCAGGAGTCTGCCTCTCCCTCTCTCTCTCTCTCTCTCTAATAAATAAATAAATAAAGTAACCCTAAAGCAGACCCCAAATCTGTCTCAGAGAATATATAAGAACGCGTATTGGGCGGAGGTTGGAAAATAAGGATTCTGAGCCTAGATTTCGTCATTGCTCTGTGGGATCCTTGGCAAGTCACTCCATCTCCCTAAACCTGTTTCCTCATCTGTAAAATTAAGAGGCTGTAACTAGATTTCCTTTGCAGCTTTAAAATTCTCTAATTCTATTCTTTTGTATACCCTCCACTCCAGCCAGACTCACCAGCTCACTGCAATCCAAACACACCCTATCAATTCTTGCCTTGTACCTTTGGTTTTTCCCTTCTCTCCACCAGGATTTCTCTGCTTTCTTTTCTGCCTACCTGAACTCTGATAGCAACAACAAAAATCCCACATGCTAAAGGGAGCCTGGGCCTACTCCATGAAGACTCCACACAAACACCAAGGTTCTGACACTCAACACTTCTCATGTTCTGCTCCTGCTGTTCAAAATCGTTTCCTATATGAAGCTTCTTTATTCCGACTGAACTAAAATCTCTGCACTTTTGTGACTGCCTTGCAGAATGCTGAACATGTAGACAATAACAACAAATGTCATCACTAATAACTGACTAATGTATGGACACATAGGAAAAAATCCAAGAGGAATCTAGATGTGAGGAAAAAGTAGAAAGTAGAGATAAACCTAGGATTTTTTGCACTTTACACAAGATTCTCCAATGCTTCCGTAAATCAGTAATTGATTTACTCCACAAAAAATTACTGAGAATTTCCTATGTATAAGACACTGCTGACATATCACAGGAACAGAGGTGGAGAATAAGCAGTGACCCAGGTCCCCGGTAGCATCCTTCCTCACAGATATCATAGCATTCACATAGTCCATAGCATTCACGTGTAACTTTTTAGGAAGATCTTAAAAGGTGGCAGCTCCATCATCATCATACCCTTCCTTCCCCAAATTGGTCATGAATCCAATTCTCCCTTTAGCCAGTAAAGCTGTTAAATTTTTTTAAAAATGCTTTAATTAAAGTAGGTCAACAGATTAAAATATACATATCTGCCTACACAAGCAAGATAGCCTAAAACAAATCTCTTCCTGGAACTATATTCTAGCTATTTGCCTAGAATCGCTAGACCCTACCCTGACAGGTTATAAAGTGACCCATATCAATATCCTTCTCCAGTATGGTTTACCTCCACTAGTCTTGGTAAGTGACACCAAGGATGTTAAGGATGAATCTTAACAAAGAGAGGCAATCTACACCTATCTTTTGGGACCCCCGCAGCATGTACTCACACACACACTCCCCTAATTAAATGGGGCTGAGACCTGAACAGTATCACCTATCGAATGACAAACAGGTTCATGAGTAAGTAGGGGAAGTAAATAAACCAAACAGTCCACAGAGGGAGAGGTCAAGAAGCGGGGCTGAGCTGGGGCTGGGCCCAGAGTGATTCAGGTTCTACCACAGAATGGGTGTCTCCTGGGATGGTCTAGCAGGACAATTAAAACCCCTATAAATAGGATGGGTTTTCAAGTCTCCAATATCCTCTCTGGCTTCTCAATCTTCTCCTCATTCCTTCTTAAGCAGGTAAGGAAAGCATTCATGGAGGGGGTGTGAGAGAGGATATGTTATGGCAGTATCCACAAGGCTTTTGATGGCAACTATAATGCGCTGGGCTGGGGAGGTCTGTGCATGAAAGGCCTGAGTAGAACCCTGCTTCCTTTTCTTGGCTCTATCTGAGACTATGATGATAGCTGAGGTGGCCCACTTCTGAGCCTGTAAAATATGCATGCCTTTGTTTCAGCGTGTCCTGGGCATCCCAAAACTGAGGGCTAGAACTATCAGTGGATAGCTTAGTCTCCCATAGTGGAGCATTGACCTTTCGTGCAAGTAAGGCAAGACCTAGAAGTTTAGGGCTCTTTGGGTCTAAGGCTCTAGACCACAGGGCCACAGTAACATTCAAGTTTCATTGCGGTGAATTGCCATAAGAAACTCAGTATGTCCATTCATTGTTTGCCATGCATCCCTATAGGCATCACTGCAAGCTTTTGGAAGTCCAATGTGCTTCGCAGATAAGGGCTTCTTGGAGGCTTATAAACGCAGTAACTAGAATTTTTATGCCACAGGAAGAAATATCATGTGATCCAGATCCTAAAAGACCTTAGTCTTCCAACATGGCTAATGGGAATCTAGCTGATTATATACACTTCCTATCATCTGTGCAGTTAATTTGGGTTGCCATTTTTATCTGTAATACTTTTTATACTAATTGATTCTGTTTTATAAGCATATCCCAAATGACCATCCAGGCCAGAAGTGCTTGCTGGTATTTAGCCGCCCAGAGAGTTTGCTTGAACCATGGCAAAAGACTCTAGCCTTCTTCTCCACTTGACCAAGAGTCATTTGAAGACTGAGGACTGTTCAGTGAGGTCTATTTAGTTGGTGGAAAATTGTCTTACTATACTGGCTTCTGGACCTGCCTCTATGGATCTCCTGACCCCCATTCCTTTTTGTTCTAAAATGAGTTTCAATCAATCAAGTCCCACCTGGAGTGGAGGGAGTGGAATATATAAACCACCTACCATAGATTTTTCCTTTTTAGGAAATCATTACTTCCTAGTCAGGGACCCATAGTTTGCACCCATCTCCCACTGCAGTGCATGATATTTGGAGCCTAAATGTGGGTCAAAGGGAGTGAGAGATATGGATAAGAAGGGGCTCTGTCATTTTTAAAATTTCTTTCCCTGACCAAAAAGGGCCACTTTCCCTCTGGGAATGCGGTCTTCAGGTCTGCATCTTAAACACAGAAAGAATCTTGCTTCTTCTCTTAGGTTCACTCATTTTTGCTAAAATGGCTCAACTTCTGAACAGCATACTCACTGTGATCAAGGTTTTCCAGAAATACGCTAAAGAGAATGGGAAATGTACATCGCTGTGCAAGAAGGAGTTGAAGCAGCTGCTCTTAGCTGAGTTTGGAGATATCCTCCGGGTAAGATGCAGACTCTGGCCCCATGAAGTCAAGTGTGAGTGATTCTGATACCTGCATCCGAGGGCTTGATGTTTTTTGTTTGATCTGGTCATGCTCCATCTACCCTGTAGCTATGATTTTCAGGCAGCTCCTCAGTACTTCTCTCCCAGCAGACACATGTGTTCACAGGCATACTTACACACACACACACACACACACACACACACACCTTCTTATAGCTGAGCTTAATAGGAGGGAATACAACTTCCAACCAGAAATCATTTCTCAGAAGAAATTCTAGATTCGTGTCTTGATTTCTGTCCACGTGTCTTCTCATTCATTCATTCAGTAAAAAGTCATTGAACACCTATTCCAGTCCAGCACCCTCCTAGGCACTGGGGATGCAGACATGAATAAAACCAGCTTCTCTTCCCTCTAGGATCTCACACTGTGGTTAGAATGAAGACAGTAAAAAATAATTACAATATAGCATGTGATGGGATGGGATAATCATGCCCCAGCTGGTCCAACAAGGGATGAGGTTCTGAGGACCAGTTGATCAAAGACTAGAACCAAGCCCAAGCCATTTCAGATTAATGATTTCCAACCAAGGAAGGCTCATACAGGAGTGAAGAGGCTGGGTTGTAGACACTGGCACACATCTTAGTATCTACAGGAGAACAGCTGATTTTGCTCTTTGTTTAATCTTTTCACAGAGACCAAATGACCCAGACACAGTGGAAACCATCCTGAGCCTCTTGGATAAAGACAGAAATGGATATGTTGATTTTCATGAATATCTCTTGTTGGTGTTCCAATTGGCCCAAGCCTGCTATCATGAACTGGATAACAAGTCATATGGTGATAGAATCTCTCAGCAAGAAGGGGAGGAGGGAACACGAGACCATAAGTTTCCAGGAAATAGAGGTAGACAGCAGAGGCAGAGGCATGAAGAAGAAAGGCAGGACTCCCACTGTACTCAGTCTGAGAGACAAAACCAGGATATCCACCAGGATCAGTCTGATAGACAGGATAGGGATTTCCACTATGGTCAGCTTGAGAGACAGGATAGAGACTCCCACTATGGTCAGTCTGAAGGACAGGATAGGGACTCTAGCAATGGTCAGTCTGAGAGACAGCGTAGGGACTCCCACTATGGTCAGTCTGAGGGACAGGATAGAGACTCCCACTATGGTCAGTCTGAGGAACAGAATAGAGACTCCCACTACAGTCAGTCTGAAGGACAGGATAGAGACTCCTGTGATGATCAAAGATGGGGTCATAAATCTAGCAGTAGTCAGTCTAAAAGACAAGGATATATCTTTGCCTTAAATCAGAGTGAGAAACAAGTTCACAATTCTCATTATGGCCAAATAAACCAACAGGAATCAGGCTCTTATTATGGACAGTCTCGGGGTTTGGATCAGGAATCAGCATATGGTCAGAGAGAGAGACAAAAATTGGACTCCCAATACGGTCAGACAGACAGAAAAAGCCAGAGTTCTCTCTATGGTCAGACAGACAGACAAGGCCTAGGTTCTCAGTATGGCCAGACAGAGAGACAAGACCAGATTTCTCACGATGGGCAGATAGACAGACAAGGCCAGATTTCTCACTATGGTCAGACAGACAGACAAGGCCTGGGTTCTCAGTGTGGCCAGACAGACAGACAAGGCCAGATTTCTCACTATGGTCAGACAGACAGACAAGGCCAGATTTCTCACTATGGTCAGACAGACCGACAAGGCGTAGGTTTTCAGTGTGGCCAGACAGACAGACAAGGCCAGAGTTCCCACTATGGCCAGACAGACAGACATGACCAGAGTTCTCACTATGGTCAGACAGACAGACAAGGCCAGATTTCTCACTATGGTCAGACAGACAGACAAGGCCAGATTTCTCACTATGGTCAGACAGAAAGACAAGGCTTAGGTTCTCAGTATGGCCAGACAGACAGACAAGGCCAGATTTCTCACTATGGTCAGACAGACCGACAAGGCGTAGGTTTTCAGTGTGGTCAGACAGACAGACAAGGCCAGAGTTCCCACTATGGCCAGACAGACAGACATGACCAGAGTTCTCACTATGGTCAGACAGACAGACAAGGCCAGATTTCTCACTATGGTCAGACAGACAGACAAGGCCAGATTTCTCACTATGGTCAGACAGAAAGACAAGGCTTAGGTTCTCAGTATGGCCAGACAGACAGACAAGGCCAGAGTTCCCACTATGGCCAGACAGACAGACAAGGCCTAGGTTCTCAGTATGGCCAGACAGACAGACAAGGCTTAGGTTCTCACTATGGTCAGACAGACAGACAAGGCCAGAGTTCCCACTATGGCCAGACAGACAGACATGGCCAGAGTTCTCACTATGGTCAGCCAGCCAGACAAGGCCAGGGTTCTCACCATGGCCATGGTCAGACAGACATACAAGGCCAAGGTTATCATTATAGCCAAACAGAAAGACAAGGCCTAAGCTCTCATTATGGCCAGACAGACCGACAAGGCCAGGGTTATCATTATGGTCAGTCAGACAGACAGAGCCTGAGCTCTCACTATAGTCAGTCAGAGATTAGAGAAACAGGACAAAATAGTTACCACCAAGGGAGTGAGGGAACAAACAGAGACTCATGTGTTGAGCAATCAGGAAGGTCAGGGAGACCAAGTCAACAGACTCTGGGGCAGGGAGTAACCCAAAATCAAGGGCAGAGATTCCAGTCTAGGGAAGGGCAACAGAATAGCCATCAGGCATGGGAGCCTGAGGATAGCCAATACCACCAACACAAACTCATAGCACAAATCCAGCAAGAAAGGCCATGTAGTTACAAAAGGGGTGACTGGCAATCATGTAGTAGTGAGCAGGACCACATACAGGCCAAGGCCAGGCAAAGTCATGGAGATGGACACAGCCACCACGCCAAGGAAGAGCAGGGCCACCAAAGCTGGGGCAGACATGGTTGTGAGAATAAAGAAACTCCACAGGAGATGCAGGCCAGGCAAACCCATGATAAGGAACAAAGCCTTCAGGGACAGGAGAGGCAAACCCACGAAGATGAGCAGACCCATCAGAGGAGGGACAGGCAAACCCGTGAAGGTGAGCAAACCCATCAGAGACAGGACAGGCAAACCCATGAAGATGAACAGACCCAACAGCGACAAGATAGGCAATCCCATGAAGATGAACAGGCTCGTCAACCACAAGACAGACAAACTCACGAAGATGAGCACACCTATCAGCGTCGAGACAGGGAAACTGATGACAAGAATCAAAACTGTCAGCAACAATGGGATAGGCAAACCCTTAAGGAGGAAGAAAGGTATCAAGGGTCCCAGGATCAACAATCTTATGGGACTGAGCAAGGCTGTGCAAATAGAGAAAAATTCCAAATGAATGAGAATAGCCAGAGGCAAGGCTCCCAGGGAAGACCCAGTAACCTGACCCTCCATCCCACCCAGAGGGGTGGGAGGCTCCCAAGGAGAGAACAGGGTGGAAGTTACCCTACCAAGGCAGCTCCTGCTCCCAATCCCCTCTATGACTACGTACAAGATCAGAAAAGGAATCAACACTAGGCTGTGCACACACCACAGCTAAAGCAACTTGAAGCCAAAGAAGAAATCTACATGTCAAGTTTATCTTTACTTCTGTTTAAGAGATTGAAAATGTACATCTTCCTTCCCTCCTATATCTATTTGCAAGGATGCTTTTGAATACTAGTACTCACTTTTTAGGGCATTTTCATTCTTTGAGTAGAAATTCTAGGGTATTCTATTAAGTTAAATCTGAGTGGTAAGTTGGGAGACATAATCAGATCCCAATTTTGGTTAGTTTGGGTATTTAAATCATTTCCTGGTTTTCCCTCTGTTTAGGTGGGTCATGGTTAGATCATTGAATAGCAGAAACTTCTCCCAAAAGTTCAGAAACAGGAAAAGTATTCTGAAGATATATGTATTATAGCCTGAAGACAAGACACTTGGGCTTTGATGATCTTGGGTTCCTGTGGACAAAACACCAGAAATTGCAAACCTCATAGTCTACACTACAATGAAACATGGTGAGAGGCTTCTAGAAGAGTCATCTCTGAAGTCCATAACATGCCAAGTTTCCCATCCTTTGCCACAGGGGCTGTCCCTTGAGCTGCTATCACTACAGCTGACTGGACTGGTTCCAGCCCCATACCTACCCAGTTTCTGATCATATAAAACAGAAAGCATATGTCATCTGCTTACAAATTCCAACAAGCCAAAACTGTCCATCCATAGCTCTTGAAAACCCTTCAAAGAAAATCTGTGGAATTGTATTAATATACCCAATAAATGATTGGTGAGCAATGATCTCAATGACTCTTTTCCTTCTTCATGATGGGGACATTCTACCCTGTCTTCACTTTGGTGCCATTTTCCAAGAATAAGACCTCATTTCTTGACTTCTAAGATGCCTTTTTCTTTGAGTTCCTGAGCACTGAAGAAGAAGGAAAAGGAGAAGGAGGAGGAGGATAAGGGAAGGAAGTGAAGGGAGAGGAAGGGGAAAAAGAAAAAGAGGAATCAATATAAAACAAATTAAAAAAAGTCGAAGGAAATTTATCTAAATATTTTTATCTCCTTCTCCCACAAAGGTTCAAAGTTGACTCTTGCCCTCATTCACCTCCACATGCAAATGGTCATTAAGTCTTGCCAAAGACTTACATCCTTCATACTTCTTGGATCTCTTCCCACTTCTCCATTTCCACTGCCTTTAATTTCCCTCCTCTTCAGTGGCTTCCAGGGACTTTAGAATGAAGTGCATACTCCTTAGCATAACATCTAGGCCCTTCGTTACCTGACTCAGATGACCTACCCGGCTTAGTCTCATGAAAGGCCCTTACTAGGAGACCCAGTGCTCTAGCTATACCAAGGACTTGACCTTTTCTTAGTATACCATGGTCTTTTCATTAATTCATGTCTTTGAATATACCATTCCATAGCCTGGAGTATCTCCCTCTTCTGCCAGGTAAAAACCTGGGCATCCTCAGTGTCCCAACTAAAACATCTCATTTTCTGAGCAGCATTCCTGCACACTCCAAGTACTCCTTCCTCTACATTCTCACTCATTTCTGCACACAAACTATTGTGATTACCACCCCTACCAAACTGGGAATGAGACTGTAACTTACTCAACTATGTATGGCTCAGCACTTAGTGCAGCCATCAAGGTCCAGGGGCACTCATAATCTTTTGCTGAATAGATGGGCAGATGGAGGAAATTAGTCTGGCTTCAGGAAAAAATTCTACTAAACATTTACATAGTAACATTTACATAGTAACAAACAAAAGAGGCTAAATTTAACCCTTATTCAGTCAAAGCTCAATGAATGAAACAGCAATCTTTTTGATATTGTAAACAATAGGACATTTAATTCCTAGAATTATAAGAGCTGGATTATTAGAAATCAGCAAGCGAACTCCAGAACTATTCTGTTCAAGACATCCACAGAACTGTAATCCGGCAATCAGAAACCTGGGATCCAGAAGCTGCTGGCATTGCTCCCAAATCTGCCAGTCAACAACCATATTTCATAACTCTGTTTACAAAAGAAACAGCAAAAATCACTGTACCTTCCAAATATCATGTAAACACATCTAGTTGGAAACACATAATTCACATCCAGAGCCCTAGCTACAAAGGAGTCTAGAAAATACAAAAGGAGATAAAAATGGATGTTGAGGGCCGTTGGATTCACTATAGGGAGGATATATAGACTTATAACAGCAGCCCTTTTCCTCAAGATTATTATAATCTAGTAACAAATATATGTACAGCAAACAACCATTAAATAAGGCAAGATGTCATAAGTACAAGAAAATTGCTGTCGTGACACCACGCAGGGAGTAAGTAAATATGTAGAAGGGCTGAAAGAAGCTTGCATGGAGGAAAGCATCTAAGCTAGGGTCATGATCCTGGAGGAGTGGGGATGAGAAGGGTCATGGCTTACCTTGGGCCTTAGGCTCAGTGGGGATGCTCATATATTGGCTGCTCCTTTTTAAAAAAAAAAAAAAGATTTTATTTATTTATTCATGAGAGACACAGAGAGAGAGGCAGAGACACAGGCAGAGGAAGAAGCAAGCTCTCTGTGGGGAGCCCAATGCAGGCTGAATCCCAAGACCCCAGGATCATGATCTGAGCCAAAGGCAGATGCTCAACCACTGAGCTACCCAGGTACCCTGGTGGCTGCTGTTTAAATGGCATAATTGTTCAGGGTTCATAATTTCTTCACAAATGCTCTCTATAACTGAGACCCTCCCCAGAAAGCTAAACTAGAGGATGGAGAATAAACCCAAAGCTGAGAGGTTTCAAAATCTATAAGGTGCTAAGGATTCCTAGAGGCTCTCAGTGGGTCAGTGAGGCAGTGAAGAATGGGAGGGATTTAGGCATTGTAGGCAGGGAGAACAGCACGAGTTCCACATGGTGAAGGAAGTTTCAGGGGAACACTAAAAAAAAGAAAGCAGAGAGTCAAAGCTGGAAGGACAAACAGAACCAGATCACAGAGGACTTCAAAATCCACCATGATGAGTTTGGAATTTTTTCTGTTAGTAGTAGGAGCCTCAAAAGTTTTCTGTGTAGAAAACAAGAAGAAAACCAGTAGGAGAGATGTTTGGAATAAAGATAAATGGCTACTTTCAGGAGTGGAGTTAGGTAAATTTTATATGGGTAACTCCTCATCATAGGTACAACATAAGCATGGACTGGGGGCTACCCAGGCCGTCAGGCCAGAAGATAAGAAAGGAGGTGTACCCTAAAAAGGTGTGAAAGCAGGGAGACATCCAACTGAGCTGTGCTGACTGCTCTGCAGCAGGCAAAAAAGAAGCTCTCTGGATCTAAGCCAGAGAGCAACCCACCAAATTTCCTCAACTGGAATGACCAAACAGAAGATCATCCCCCTTAAGCCCTGTCTCTACTCTTAAACTCTGAATCATGCACACCAAGAAGCTAATTCACAATATGACCTCCAAATCTACCTACCCCAGAAAGATGCCATTCCTTTGTAAAAGTCATCTTCCCCTTGGGGCTCACTCCTCAGCCTCCTTCTCTTTTCTAACTATGATTATCTTGTTTGGTCCTACAGCTCCAAATATAGCCATTATTTCTAAGACTCTCAGGTCTTCATCTCCAGCCCTACTTTTTTCCCCAATCCCAGACTTGTATATCTAATTATCTTGTTGACATATTCATTGGGACATCAAATAGCATCTCAGTCTTAGCACTCTCAAACAGGAGTCTTGACTTAACCTGTTTCTCCCTCAATTTTCCCCAGTTTAGTAAGTTGGTAGGACCATCCATATTGCTCAAGTGAAAGTCTAGGAGAGACATTCTTTATTTTAGTCATTCTCTCTGCCAAATCAAACTCATCAGCGAGTCCCTTTGTTTCTATCTCAAAATACAGTTTAGACTAGATCCCATCATTCTTGTCATCTCCCATGTCATCAACCCTCCCTCCACTGTCTCTCTCCTAGAACCCAGCAACAGCTTCCTAATGGGATTCCTTACTCCTCTGTGAAATGAAAACCACATCAGATCACCCCCCTGGGTAAAAGGCTCAGTTTCTCATAACACTAAGAATAAAATCCAGGATTCTCCCAGAGGCTTCCTAGGATGGGGCTCTGCCACACTCCATCATACACCACTCCCCTCTGTGCTGTTTTCCAACTATGCTGGCCTTCCTCCTGTGATTCTAGCAGGACAAGCTGGTTCCCACCTCAAGACCTCTGAACCATTTCTTTGGCTTGGAAGGGTCCTCTCCCCAGCTTTGTGTAACTGGTTCCTTATTTCATTCAAGTCTCAGCTAAAGAGTCACCTCCCAGAATAAGCTTTCTCTGACATTTAGTCCATAAGAGTAGTCCTCAGTCACATTCTCCTCTTTCTCTTGTTGTTCTCGGGATTTTTCATATCTGTAATCTTGGGGTTTTTTACCTATTTATTGTCTTTTTCCCTCTACTAGAACTTAAGACTCATAAGGACACAGATTTTATTTGTCTTGTTACCATCATGCCCTCTGCATCAAAAAGAGCATGCACTCAAGGTGCAAGCCCAATGAGTGTAAGTGTCCACTAAATGCTCAGAGAAGGCCTCTGTAATCTGGCTTCAGTCTACATTCCAGCTTGATTCCCCATATGCCCTTACATGCCACCTAGACTCTAGCCTAACTGGACAATTGCCCAGCCTCCACACCTCTGCTTATACCATTTCCTCCACTGGAACACTCTACTCTCCTAAGCCTCCACCTGGCAAAATTGTATCTATTCTATTAATTAACAGCATCTCTCGGAGCTATTAGTAGTGCAGAATTTATCACATTGCACATTTCCCACACCAAGCTGCGAGATCCTAGCAGGCAGCAACTGCATCTTATTCAGTTGTATTTATGACACCAAGCACAGTGACTAACCAACCATATGTAAAGAGACAGATTTAGGGGCAACTGGGTGGCACAGTTGGTTAAGCATCTAACTCTTGGCTTCGGCTCAGGTCCTGATCTCAGAGTCATGAGATCGAGCCCAGTGCATTGGGCTTTGGGCTCAGTGTGGAGACTGCTGAAGACTTTCTCTCCCTCTCCCTATGCCCTTCACCCCACTGAGCACATGTGCACGCACTCTCTCTCTCTAAAATAAATAAATACATAGATAGATAGATAGATAGATAGATAGATAGATAGATAGATGATAGATAAACTTCTTTAAAAAGAGAGAGATTTAGAATTAGAAGACCTGTATTTGAGAACCTAGATCCACCATTTACTGATTTCACAATCTCAGAAAACTTTTCAGCTTCTCTATCTCTTTAAATCTCAGTTCTCTCATCTGTAAAATGGGATTAAAAATTCTAGTAGTTAAAAAAAATTCCAGTAGTTTCTTAAAAATAAGTTGAGATGACATACATAAAGTAGTTAATTATCTGATATCTTGTTGCTTATTTAGTTAGTGTTTACCATCTTCTCCCCTTTGACATTGTTTTTAATAGAACCTTAATAAATGTTTACATATTGTTGAAAAGCCCAGCTTATGCACCAGCTCCTCCAAGAAACCTTCCTTGATTCCCTTCCTTCCTAGACAATAGTAAACCTCTTCTTTGTCTTCAAACATCTTTGGAAAGCTTCTGTGATCATCATCACATTCTACATTATTATAGGTATCGGTGAACATTCTCACTCTCTGACTATATTAGAAGTTCCTTCAGTAAAAGGTCCACACTTTATTCTTTACATCATTATTAACTCCCAGAATATTCAGAATAAGTATTTGGTGGGTTCTTGTTGAATTAAATTCAACTGAATGGACTCTCCATTACATTATGGCTCTTT